TAAAAGTCCAATTTTTCACTCGCTAATAAGGTGCATAAGCTCGAATTCCTTATGTATAAGCTCCAGTTTGGGATAATCATAAGGGAATTTCCCAACCAAACTTAGACGACAAGAAGAAGCAAGCAGATTACATTCGGATTCAATTAAAAAGATGGTTGACTTCTCATTCTTCCTACCAGCTTTCTTGTTGCAACAACATAAGTTCTTTCCAAAGCCATCACCGGTTGAAGCTAGAGGCAAGGTGTTAACGGGCAGTGAAGAATGCAGTCGAGGAAAGAGCAAACGACAAACCCTCACCACAAAAAAAGAATTAATTGATATATGTATGTGTGTGTGTGTGTGTGTGTTATGTGTGTTATGTGTGTATGTATGTATGTATGTATGTATGCATGTAACTGATGAGTATTATGTTCAAATAATTTAATTGACTACAACGATACAAATATTTATAATCAAATAAAATTATTATGTAAAAAATAAAATAAATATATATTAATTTATATTTAAATGAATATTTTAATATAAATAATAAGATTTAAATATTGCTTCTACCATTAACATTTTATGGTAGCTTGGTTAAGGTTATTAAAATGACTCATTGTTCATGAATAGCTCGTATTCGACTTGCTACGTAAATAAATCGAACACGAACAAAATTTTTGAGCTCAATATATAAATGAGTTGAATACAAATAATGACATTTTTTAATGAGTCAAACACGAACCGAATATGAGCTCGTTCAGCTCGGCTTGTTTACACCCCATGTTCATCAAGTTGGGGTTTCTTTATTACAAGCCATTTTTACAACCACGCCTTTCATTTTCTCAATACAATTTTCATTCTCAGGGGTCAGCCTCCATATTTGTTCACCTTTTCGCAGGACCATTTAGCAACGGATTCTTGGACATTTTGTCTGGGTGTCACGCCCCGTTGTCGAGTGAAACATGCCTGAGCTAATTTATGACAAATATTGCCGATAGTATTTTAGTTAGATTTTGATCTGTCATAGTTATAATGGATCTTTCGTACTTCTTTTTCATTAGACCTATCTCCTTTGTTATTTTTAGAACCTTGTGTACTCAGGCGAGCATGGTTCCTAGTTTCTTCGTTTCTTCAAACAGAGGTTAGCATGGTTGATTCAAGAAAGATTGCTTTATATTGCCAGTGGAGCTGTTCGGCTTTACCCATTTCAAATTTTTGAATAGATTGTGGGTAAAAAAGACTCCTTCTGGCATCAATGTCATTGAAGTATTGGGTTGCTCAGGTAAAAGATGTTGATCTTGCAATTCAACATTCTTTCTCTTATGTTTTCGAGTTAGTTTTCTTCCAGATGAGGAAGCTTCAACATCATGTCTGCTCAACATGAAAGGTGCATCGAATATGGTAGCAAACCAATGAACGAGCACCAATGAAAACTTTTGCCTGGTGATAGTTTTCCTCATGGTTGGAGCTTCACTAGTAATCAATTTTTCAAATACCAATGTCCTCTTTTGGAAACTTCAATAACATTAGCTTAAGCAAGTTTTGGGCCTTGCACGGACTGGTGAGCACGACATGTTGTGTAGTTGCAGGATGAGGCATTACAGGATGGCCTCACGGATGCATTCTGCAAACAAATACGACAACAATTATCGTAGCTTATGCGGGGATTTTGAGGCTATCAAAATGGATGGTAGCCCTAGTGTTGTCAATATTGATTAAAGTGTTGGTCAACCATATCTTGGCACCACTTTCGAGTTTCATGGTGAAATGAGTGTTCTGAAGATCTATCCTGCATAAATGAGTGAGGATGATCAATTAATCAATAATGTAATGAGTGAGGGGGTCAATTAATCAATTCATTCTGCATAAGTGAGTGAGCGGGATCAATTAATCAATAATGTAAAATTACACCGCACACTTTCAAAAATGTAGAGACAAAATAATAGAATAACATAATTGACTATTCTATTAAGACTTGAGATTTTAGTTTGGTTATTATTATGCTAAAATTATGACTAGCAAAAGATAGAGAGACATTCCCTAACGGAGTTGTCAAAAAAAATAGGGGTACAATGTGACACCATTGGAACAAAATACATTCCCTAACGGAGTTGTCAAAAATCAATGGGTTTAAAAATTCTGAATTCTCCTCAGGAACTCTCTCATTTTATTTGTTGAGAGAGATTTAGAGGATCAAATTTTTAGAAGGCGGATTGAATTGTAGAAAAAATGTTGTTCAGATATTTCACCCTCATTTATGAGGACTTTTTGATCTCGGGTTCAAGGTTTACCATAGGCCCAAGCCTCTATTGATACCAAAACTAGTTCGGAAATCAGTGTAAGCGCAAAGCAAACTTTCTTTAATGTAGGAATAGGGGTACAATGTGACACCATTGGAACAAAATAATACAACAACAGTATGCTCCGGCTAAGGCTGGACAAGAGGACATGGGGTGGTTCTGGCATCGACGTAGTAGTGTGGGAACGAGGAAGCGTTGGAGGTGGCGTGGTAGTTTAGAAAAGGGGATTGGGAAGGAGG